AACTCTGCGTCATTACTCAGCCATCTAGCCTGCACTGAAGCCTAGATGGCGATGGCTTCACTAGGCCAGTACCTGAACTTGCTAGATCATATACCCTGTGATTAGAAAGTGGGCACACACTTTGTTAGAAAACTAACTCCCCTTTGTGCCATCACCCCTAGACTGTAAGCTCCTTGGGGAGACACTCTCTTCTTAAGGCACATCATGATTAGGTCCCAGAGCCAGAGAGAGTTTACTAATGAAATGACTGCATGGGTGATCCCACTCACCCACCCACCCACCGCCTCTGGAGGGCTGGGAGCGAAACTCCACAGACTGGAGAGTGAGGGACTTAGAACCACTGGTGCCTGCACCATGGCCCCACACACATTCTGCCCTGCCCCCACTCTGCCTCTTCCACCAATGGTTCCTTCCACTCGCTCCTGTCCTCCCATTGCCCACCTAAAGCAGGTAAATGGGATGAGGCCATGCCCCCCCCCCCCGGTCTAGGAAGGGGGCAGATCGGAGCAAGCACTGGGTGGGGAGACTTTGGGGAAAGAGGCTGAGAGAAGTGAGCAGCTGGGCTGGGGGGGGAGGGGAGGAGGATGGGAGAAGACAGAGGGCGGGGCCACAGTCCAGGTGCTCATGGCCCCACCCCTCACTTCTATGTTGCTTCCAGCTCTCCTGTGAGAGCCTCCACAATGGAGGACCCATGTGCCACCTATGAATGACTGGCAACAATGATCCACCACTATTAGGGGAGGTCACTGTTAACTGTACATTTGCAAAGATCCCAGGGCATTTGGACTAATTGTTTATATTAGGCTCCAATTACTCATCTGAAAAGTGTGGGTAATGATTCTGATCTTCTTTGCCAAGCTCTTAAAGGGATTTAGGGACAAAAAGAACAGGGGGACATCATCATGATCAGGTTTCTATTTGAGATTAACCTTACCACAGAAATATACAGTAAACCTGGCCAAAAAAGAGGAGTCAAAAGTTATAGCAAAAATGTTAAATGTTCAAAGCTGATATCTGTATGTTTAACATGCAAGACAGAAATAGGTCACAGTAATTGTGTAGCTTTAAAGCTGCAGAAGAGGCTGAATTTCTTTTTGAAGTCTGAAAATAATGAGTTCAGCAATAGAAGAAGCTGTCAAGTAGACTGTGCTGGTGACATGCATACCTCAAGGATGAGAGCTATGGGAATGGTTATTGAGGCATGGACACAAAAGTAAGGTAAATACCTGTAAACTTCACTGCTGAACTGCAGCAGTATTCACAAGGCACTCCATTATCTCCTTTCCCAGCATGCAGTGAACTATTACTATTTGTACTGTGGTAGCAGCTAAATGCTCCTATCCCAACCTGGTGTCTTTCTACTAGGCAGGGTACAAACATATGAAGAGATAAAATCCCTTCTGTAAACAGCTCACTGTCTAAAGGCTCTATGTAAAATCTAGAATGGATTCTCTGGGGGGAAGCATCTTCTTTGGTTGTTCCAAGTATTGATCAAGATTTTGGAGGGAACGTGTGTACATCAAAGGCAAAATCTGTACTTGCAGAGGCTTCCTTTGGCAGTAGGACTTAGGCGGTTCTGCTGTACCAGATGACGGGAAGTAGGGCCTCAGAGAAATGCCGGGTGTGAACCGGTTGTGTAAAGCTCAGTTTTGCGGGGAATGGTCCAGCATGCAGCTGGGATGGGTTGTGGAAGATGTAAATCCCAACGACCTGCTGCCATGTAGATCCTTCCCAGTGGAAGGGATGTGTTTGGGCTACAGAGAAGTTTAGTGGTTGTGGTGAAGGGGGTGCAACGATAAGGAAGGAATCTTAGCAACACTCCATACCTCTGTGGTACAAAGCAGGGGTATGTCTACACTGCACCATTGTTTTGAGATAACTAGTATTATTTTGAAATAATGCAAGCATCTACACAGCCATTCCATTATTTCAAAGTAACGGACAGCTTATTCCAAAATCTGTAAACCTCATTCTATGAGGAATAACACCTATTCCAAAATAGCTATTTTGAAATAAGGCATGAGTAGATGTTCCACTGCTGCTCTTTCAAAATAGCCCTTCACCTGGGCCATTTTAAGTTATTCTTCCCCAGTGCCTCAAGGGCTCTAAATCAAGATAGTACATCTACATTCGAGAACCCTGCCTAGGACTAATTTTGAGGCTTCCCTGCCGTATAGACATGCCGTTTCAAAATAAGCTATTTCGGAATAACTATTATTCCGAGGATGGCCCAGGTGAGAGAATAGACCAGATTCAGTGCTGACTTGCATTCAGTGTGACATCGTTGTTCACAGAGCATATCAGCATCACTTTGCTTTGGCTAACTGAAAACAGGAGGTGGGTTTTTTTTTGTTTTTTTACAAATCCAGGTTATGCAATATGTATCACTCCTACAGTACTTTCCTACAGTACTTTCCAGGAGAGGATCTTAAAAAGTACAATACCAACATTAATGGATTGAGCTTCAAAATATCCCCACAAGATAGATGTTATCATCCCTAGTTGAGAGATGAGGAAAGTGTGGCACTCAAATCTTAGAAGACTTAATAAATCAAGTCAGCATCAAAGCAAAACAGAACCCATATCTCCTGGTTCCCAACCCAGTGCTTCAATGATGCCTCTCTGATTACCATGGTACTGATTTTACTGAAATCTACACTTACAATGTGACCAGAAGTCAGAAGTCCTTCACAAATTTTAATTCTTAAACTATGACTCTTGCCTTTAATAGAAGCAATAAATCTGGATTTGACACACCAAGACATTTTATTGTCAGACATTTGATCACACAAGCATGAAGAACATTTTTCCTTTGAGGACTCAGTTTGAGGAATGCAGATACTTGTTTTGCTCAGCTCTGTGGCATATACTGAAATGGCATCAATGAACAACTTATGCAGTGTAGCTGTAGCCATACTGGACCCAGGATATCAGACCCAGGATATCAAAGTGAGTGAGGTAATATCTTTTATTGCTCCAACTCACCAACAGAAGTTGTCCTAATAAAAGATATTACCTCACCCACTTTGCTTCTCCAACAATCCACTCAAACATTTTACTATTGAAATCCTTTTTGGGGTCAAAGCAACCAGACCAAACCAGCAAAGCCTCTGAAAGCTCTCAAGATAACTAAACTTTAGCTACACAGGCATAGTTAAAGCAATACTAACTACTCTTGTGCATAGACAAGCATTTTCATTTAAGAGTCAACAGTATACAATCACCCTCACATGAACACAGTTATACCAGCAGAACTATTGATGTTAGGGAAGGTAAATAAGCTATTTCAGTATAAGGAATTTCTATACTGGTATAGCTGCATCCACACTAAGGGTTACACTGGTTTAAACAGTCTGACAAAGAGCACAACAAAATAGTTATATAAGACTGTGTAGACCAGGCCTTAGAGAAGGAAACATCGCTAACCCAAGGCACACCTAGCTTTTTAATGGTTGTATTTGGAAGAGTTCTACTGAATCCATGAATTATGAAAGAGCTTGAACTTAAGCACACCTTTCTCCTACCATCTTCCTAGAAGCAGAATGTCTCCATGGCTTGTAGCTAGTGACTTTCAAGAATACATCCCAGTACACGCGGTATGGCAAACCAGACACAGATTCAACCCTTTTGCTATAATGCACTATATTACACAGTAACAGAAATATGACAGGTTTAAATTTAGACCTTCTTCTAATCAGCTTCATTTTTCAAGCCTAGTAAGTGGCTAGTTAGCAGAGTCCAGTAGTCTAAATTTTGTCATCACCTGTTTACACACACACACACTTACTTAGTTTTCATCCCTATTGGCTGGCCTGGAGAGGATGCCATTTGATACACACCACTCTAGTGCCATGAGTCTAGCTGCCAGCTAACCATTCACTCACAGCGAAGCCAATTCCTGTTCCCTTATGGAGATGCTACAAGGTGGGAAGAAAGGGGGTTACCTTCCTTTGGACTAAGGAAAGCAAAACATTGGAAACATGACTCATCACCCTAGATTATTTCTGTCAAACCCTAGCTAAAGATCAAGAAACAGGCAATGTCTTTTGCAGCAAGGGGGAGAGACAGGTCGACAGCTCTCTCCAAGAGAGTGGCTACACAATCTCTAAATACAGTTTAAAGTAACCAAGGCAGATATGGCTTTTAAAGTTTTAAACACAGTTGCTTCTTTACCTTTTTTTAGTAGGCACAAGATTGATTTGTCTCATTGCAATGCATAAGCATTAGCCAGATCTCCTTCTAACTTTGCCTGTTGAAACTGGAGTCCACAGCAATCAGGGGAAATAAAGAAGTCTATGTTCACATGAGCCCTTCACTTTCCAGAAAGAGCAGAACTTTAAAAGCAACAGAAAATGTTCCTGTGTTAAAATTAAGGAGGAAAGCGGAAATGGCTGAGACGAGCAGGATTATCTGTGCTGCTCAACTGAAATGTTTCCCAAAAGGCTGCTTTCCCTTAGATTTAGGAGACAGGTTTGCAATTAACACATGCAGCTGAATTTCACACAGCCTCCCACAGAATGCAAATAACTTACTGAGTGCAACATTTTTAATTAAATAAAAAGCACCTACAGCCTTTCTTGGGGATGAGAAAACCCATAGTGCTAGTGAACTCAATCAGCTTCTAGAAGATGATTTTTTTGAGAACCCTAGTCTCAGTCACTACACTGCAACAAATTAAGCATGTTATTTGAAGCAACATTACAACCAACCAATGCTTCCTGTTCTCTTTTCCACATAGCATGGTATAAGCCTGAAGCCAGAAACTTATAGCACCTGAAGGCACCAGGTTTTCTTTTTCAAGGAATCCTCCCTCCCCCCTTTCTCCACAGAGAAACCATTTAAACACACACACATCCTTACAAACACCAGATTTGCAATGTACTACAAAGCATACAATCGCCTCCCCCACCACTTTTTTTCGGTCTGCAATCTCTCAGCATTTTCCTTCACACTCTGCTACCTCCTCCCCAAACAAATCCTTCCAACTATTGCAAACAAACCTTCTACAGGAAACCTTCCCACGGACACAAACACCGTCATGCTGCAAGGCAGACTGAATTAGGTACTGTCTCGCCGCCCTTCCGTGGGAGCTTTGCCCGATCCGTTACTGAGCAGCCCCGCGCTTCAAGTAAAAACCCAGAGGCCAAGAGAGAAGAGAAAGGGACAGGTTTTGTTTTGGAAGGAGGGGCAGGAATTGCAGAGGGAAGCTGAGCCCCAGGAACAGCAGCTGCAGACAGCCCCGTGTTGCAATACCACCCTCTTTTCCTGACTTCCACCAAAGTCCAATCCGACCCAGCTACCTGGGTGGAAAGCAGCCAGGTCCCTCCCCAAAAGTTCTGCCGCCCCTTCCCCCAGGCCGAGCGCGGTACCTTCTCCCTGGGCAGCCTTGTTAAACCCTCGATCGCCCCCTCCTCCCCGCCGGGCTCGCTCCCTGCCTCTCGCACCAGGGCAGGAATCCGAGCAGGGGCTGAGCTGGGAGCTGACGTCACTCCGGTTCCAGGTACCTCCCTCCCCGCGGGGAATGGCCACAGAGGCTCTGGGGGGGGCGGGGGGTGGGA